CATCGCGAAAGGGCGTAAGGCTGTGGATGGAGCGAGGCGGCATGGGAATGAGCGGACGGGCGACGAAAGCGGATAAGGCCGTGGAGAGATGAATGGAGGAGGACACGTGGGCTCCATAGCCAATCGTTTATCGCCAGCGTCAGGAAAACACCAGACGTTCAAGTCGAGCATTATCCAAAGTGAAAATCAGACCGAACCACATTTAAAATTCAAATCAAACTCGTTCGAGATTTATTTTCTTTTTGATATACATTAGTGGTAGCTGTAGCAACATGGAGCAACTGTGCCCACCTACACCCGGCCGCTTGGTCCGCTCAACACATCTTTGGAGGATTGGTTCTTGGCAATGATGAGATAGGGGCACAAAGGCAACATGATCCTTAGCCATTCTCACCCAATGGCAAATATGGAAGCAGCGAAATGCGGTCCCAGAATATAATTCCGGCAACCGGATCTTAAAAAAAATAGTGGTAGCTGAGTAATCCCGACCTTCTCGGGTTGTCGAGATTGTGCTCAAGAAACACTCGCGACAAGAATGGCAGTTTCATGGTCGAGCACATGAGATGAAAGTATGGCCAACACGTCGTCGAAAGCGGCGAGTTGACGAGGTTAGTAGGCCGATCGCCACGCTTGAACGGCATGAGGATCGCCCGGCTTGAACGGCACGAGGACCTCCACGAACCCACCCACCATTGTACTATACCGATCCGATAGTCGTGTTAATGTACACGGTTAACATCCATCCATCACTCTCTTTCTCGAGAGGTCTCGGTCTTTGTATTTATCATCCATGCAACAGGTTGTAGACAAAGAAGGTCTTGGTGATGGGCCCTGCCGATCAAGACAGTAATCTAAAACCAAGATGCTTCTTGATTGAAATTATCGACATATCTTGTCCCTTGAACATATATCATCATGCAGCTAATGGTGATGAAATGACAAAGTGAAACATGGAATGTTTGTTTCTTGAAAGAGATGAAAGTGCTCATGGTTGAGCTACAAGGGTATTCGCATTCCCCCTCCCCCACCCAAAAAAGACTTCTCTTTCAACGTGCTTAAACTAAATTGAACTGTCAATCCAACGGCTATGTTTTGTGTGATTCGTGGCAGCATCACCATGAGCATGTCAGTGCAAGACATTGCCTCTGTTTGAGGTGAAGCAGGAAATTGATTTGTTGAAGTGAAAAAAAATGCTCGAAAAAGAAAAATGTCAAAGCTACCGAGGTACGGTATCAAAATAGTGAACAAGCATGCTTGTAGCTAATAATATGATAAAAGTAGCTACTACTTGGACCAAGTAGAGAATCAGAGGTATCATACATACATAGGTCTAATTAACGCTCATCTATGAATGTAGCATAAAACCTAATTAAGTTACAACAGTCTGAATACGAATACCATAAAACCTGATTAAGTCACAACATTCTGAATACGAATAGGTACGATTAGATTTGTTTGCAAAAACAACAGGCATGACATCAATCACAAACAGAACACTAACGCCAGCATCAATCCATGGACACAACCCATGCGCTCTTATAACGAGTACCTTCGGACCCACCTGCAATGATAAAAAAACAAAGCTTCAGATAGTGTCCATCTGCAAACATAATGTCTTATCTTCACAGGTGAAACGGAGACATTATTATAAGTAGCATCAAAAGATGGTACTGTCCATATGCAAACCTTAACAATGTCATATATTCATATCTGAAACTGAAACATTATAAGCAGCAATCAAAAGATGGTGCTTTTCACATAAAAATAAAACCAGAAAGTTCCCAATAGTAACACATCCTGCAAGCATCAGACCTAACGCCTGCCGCATGCATAAACCATAAGACATGCAACCCTGCCATTGTTTATGTAAGATGACCTCTTGCAAGCCTATATCTTCTCCATATTCAACTCTTGGTTAAAAAAGGATGTATATTTTTACACAAGTTGGCAAACAAACTGAATATTCTCAGAAAATGCCAAGTTCTCTAGGACAGGCTCCAGGTTATTTATTATCAATCGTAGCAAAAGAAAAATACTGGTAAACTAATAGGTGAAGAACATCCAACAAGGAAACAAATTTGATATAACTTTCTGATGCTAAATCAAATATGACTAGTTGTAGGACGTTTTGAAATTTGATATAGCGTTCTGATGCTAAATCAAGTATGACTAGCTATAGAACGTTTTGGTGCTAAATCACGTATCACTAGCTTCTCTTCAACTCAGATTCAATTTCTAAATACAAATTAGATAGGAGATAATGTTCTGGAGTTCTGTACGACTAGCTATGGAACATTTCTATGCATTCCACACACGCACCTTACTTATCATATCGCTGTCCACCAGAAGTTCATTATAGTCTGGATGTGGAAAGCAATAGAATAGAAGAGAGATATTATGCAGGGGTAACTGTATCCCCTAGCACTTCGATCTCAGAGCAAAGGCCGCACAGGGCCACGATGCCACTGCACTTGTTGGGGCCGGACAAGACAAGAACTTATAGAACCTTGCATTGAGGTAGCCTAGATCAGGGGAGGACCACAGATCTAAACAAAAGCAGGCTGTTCAACCAGACCTGGCTCAAGGTTCACATAAGAAACCAAATAGGCCTCACTAGTAGTGCTTTAATATTAGATTATAAATCCCAAAATATATAGACATGATTCAGTATAAACTGAAAAGAGCATAGAGAGTACCTAATCTGAAGAATCACAGATGTTGCAAGCTGACAAAATAGCTGCTGACTGTGGTGCATTAGGATTTTCCTGAAAATAAAAAACAAGAACTCAGTTTGATATTGCACTTTAAATTTTAATAAACTATTTTTTCTTTTTCAATCAAGCCCAAACAAATTCTTCATAGGACTAGCATGAAGCTAACATAACATGACTTTATGACAGTTAACTCAAGTCACATGATGTTACAACTATTCTCTAACTAATTTTTTCTGTTCTTTAATAAAGAAATAGATAAACAAAGGCAACCAAGCTGTACAGAGAAGTTGACCGTTGAGAGGTTGTTACTTTGTGTGGATTGCTTCTGGACACTTGTGGACTATAGGGGTGACCAAAGATATGATGTTTAGAACGGTACTAATAAGGAAGCTAACTCAAACTATGCAAAAATAGCAAACTACTCTCATGCCCGCCTCTTTATTTTAGAAAAAGATTATTACAACTAAAACCTACCAGGAAGTTATCCTATAGCACACGTTTTATTTGGGGCAATAAATACACCACTATGCTGAAACAACAGTTACTCTAACTGAGGCCAGAGCAAATAAAAAAGATGAACTAAGTGAAGAGTATTAAAGCTCAGCTTACACTGCAATCTGCAGCATGTATAACCACGTCTCTCAAAAGGGTAAAAGCGCCAGTTTTGTCTTTTGGATATGGTTTGCCGACGCTGATTTTTTTCTAAATAAAATAATTAAACATTGCACTCGTGGAGAGATCTGTGCGCCATGTAGGTGGGAAAGTCGCATCATTTATTGCACTTTTCCAAAGTGAAGCTTCATTTTTATCCGCACCTTCATACTTGCGGAATAACTCAATAATCAGTCTTTCTCTGGCATAGCTTGTCATACAACATACAAGTGTGTTAAGAAGTAGCTTGTACTCGCTCCGTACAACAAAAATAAAGTCGTTTTGAACGAGGCTTGGGTCAAACATTGGGAATATAAATCATGAATAACTTTTAAGTTATTGAGTTTGGAAATGTGAAAGCCATATAAATAGATTTATCTTGAAAAATACTTTCATAAAAATATACATTTATCACTTTTTGATAAATATTTTTATAAAAATAAGGAGTCAAAGTAATACTTTGGAGACCGTGTCGCTGCCCAAAATGACTTTATTTTTGAGTATGGAGGGAGTACTCATTTGGCAAGGGACCGATTACAGCAGCTAAAGGTCCTGTTACACCAGGTGCCGCAAGACCACCCAAAATCCTCAGACAAGCTTCTACGTATGGTGGACGCTTTGAGACAACATTTTGCATGTCACTGAATAGAAGGAGGCTTTCCACTTCCTCAACATACTTAGTAATATCAGCTGCCACTGAACCAGGTTTTTTAGTGTGTCTCGCTGGTCTCGTTGTTGAGCAGATGTGGCTTTGAGCAAATATAAAGCCTACTAACTTAAACTCACCATTCCAACTTCTGCCTACAATAAATGCTGTTGTAAAGCAGTTTATCCATGACGAAAGGAACTGACATCCTAGTCTGGTCATTTGTAGTGAAGCACGACCATCAGGGAGAGGAACCACTTGTACAAATTTGTGTTTGTTGTTGTTTATATAGTCTTGTAGGTTTGGATCATTCCTGAAATGTATGCAATTTAACTATTAGTGAAATAAAGATATAAGTGTAGCAAGATATAAAGTGGTTTGGTAAATCTTAGGCATTGGTTATAGATGTTTTTTCTTTAAGTAAGAAAGTTTAAGTTTCTAATTGAGTAAGAAAACAAATAATCTAGCATAAAAGGAACACACTAATATTAATTGATGATTCATTTCTATAACTGTTGTTAAATGCTTTTGTTATGCAAGTTTAAAGTCTATTTCTCTTTGTTAAGCGAGGGCAATTTTATTGTTTAGTTTACTGTGCAGAAAAAAGAAGAAATATCAAATTTAATTCAACGTACATACTAATTATATACTCAAGTGTTAATGAAAGAAGACATGAACTTGAGTATATAAAGAAAATAAATCAGGATTATATTGAACTTACGCTCCTCCAAGAAGCCTGGTACATACATGTACCATAGTGTCCCTCTTTAAGCCATATGACAACCAACTATGATGAGGTTCAAGTCTTTTCCTCTCATACACAAAGTACTGACTATCCAGTTTTGTCTTTGTCTTCTGTACATACAGTTGCATCAAGTCATTGATAGACTGATCCATCCTGATAGTGAAGGTCAACTCCCCAGAACCATGCCTCACGAAAATAGGCATCATCATGCTATAATTACCATCAGAATCACTATCCTGGGCTCCTAGCTAGGGATCAGAGTCTCCAGCCCGTCTGCATCTTCACTTGTTGCAATCTGAAAGAAAAGAAGATGCGATGATTAAGCTACATTCCGTTCAACAAGGAAACAGTTATCTTTATATATAAAAAAACAGGAAAACAGTGATGCCTTAGTTTAGTGCGAGATGCCCATATTTTTTTTAAAATTGCAAAAAAAGACTCCTTTTCCTATTATATATAACAATCAAATCAAAACAAACATGTAGTGAACTAACTTATTTTTTCCGAATGCGCAAAAGATTTGTGTATTATGGTATTAAGAAGAAGAGTTTGAACATACATGTAGTGAACTAACTTAGACTCCTTTTTATTAGTCTATTCTTATTCTGAACCCTTTAAACAAATTTCCTTATCCTTATGTCAAAGCAGTAAGCAGGCACTTACGGCAGTGCGGCGATGGGTCTCTGCTGGGTCGGACATCCCGTGGGAACGGTGAATCAGGGTCTGCTGTACCATGGTCTTCCCTATCCCAGCTACTGCTGACGAGGAACGCAGTGCACTTGTGCTGAAACCAGTCATGAGAGTCTCCGGCCCTCTTGTTTCTTGGCTCGTTGCAGTCTGAAGAAGGAACAAACAAACAAAAGAAGATCTGATGATTAGTCTATTCTAATTCTACACCCTTGAAATGAATTTCCTGAACTTTAAAAAGTAGGAGAGGATATACGAAATCAACTAAAAAATTCCAATGAAAAACCAGGAGATATATATATATATATATATATATATATATATATATATATATATATATATATATATATATATATATATATATATATATATATATATATATATATATATATATATATATATATCTGGAAGGAGTAAGCACTAAGCAAGCACTTACGACAGCGCGGTGATGGGTCTGGCATCCTCCATCAACGAGCGCTGCACCGCTGAGCTGGGCATGAGGACGACGACTCTCAGAACCAACATTGGAGCAGAGAGGTCCCTCAATCTGAAGAAGAAAGTCCTCCTCCGCTGGCGAGGTATGCAGAGGATTTGTGGGGCGACCCATCATCAGAGTCTCCAATCCTCTTTTTGCTTCACTTGCAACAGTCTGAAAAAGAAGCAAACAAAAAAAGACCCCATGATTAAAACAGCTTGTCTTCCCTTCAACAACAGTAGAACACATATATGGAAGCAAGAAGCAAGCGCACTTAACGGCAGCAAGGTGAGCATTGTGGGGCGACCCGTCCTCAGAGTCTCCAATGTTCTTGTTTCTTCATCACTTGTAGCAGTCTGAAAAAGAAACAGACAAAAAAAAAGACCCCCACGATTTAAACGACTTCCCTTCAACAACAGTAGAACACATATATATGGAAGCAAAAAGCAAGCACACACTTACGGCAGCAAGGTGGCTATGTGTTTGCCGTTCTCCGTCGACGAGCGCACCGAGCTGGGCACGACTTGGACGCCTCACCGTCGCCACCATGTCCGCGCCAAGAAGACGACGGCGACGCTCCCTGAACGCGGCGTCCTTCAGCTGTCAGAGGCCCATGCTTGGCTCTCAGCTAGCTGATGAAGCTCCGAAGATCACAATGGGGGAGAGAAAGCTCCGAAGCTCACAATGGGGGAGAGAAAGCTCCGAAGCTCACAATGGGGGAGAGAAAGCTCCGAAGCTCACAATGGGGGAGAGAGGGGGAGGGGAAAGGGAACGAGACGGGCAATGCAGAAGCAAGCGAAGACAGCTGCTGGGTTTGTGCGGTTTCCTCTCGTCTCTCCCTAAAGAATGGGCAATGGCCATCAACGTGCCTCCTGTGCGATACAGCAGAACGGGCAGCGGCGGATGGAGTAAAGGAAGGGAGAGAGAGGGAGTGGAGAGAAGAGGACAAGGTCTGTCTGCAGCTTTTTCACGTCTGCACTGTTGCTAAAGGGTGAAGAGAGAGGTCCATTCCCATCCCACCCCGTCGGATGCATTGCATGAGCACAGTGTCCTGTCTCCGAGCGAGCGACATATGAACTCTCTTTCTTGCTACTACGGTTGCAAGCATACGTTAGTTTAGTTTGTGATAAATAAATTTTCTCTAACTCAAAGTAATTTTTTTTTCTAAAAAAATTACTAACACCTACAAACATCAAAATAGTTTCATCAAGTCGTCATCTCTACAACTAAAACATATGGATTGTCAACGTCTACCCGGCAGGACCAAACACCCCTCAACACATGTCCACCCGGCAGCACAAAAACTTCCCATATAATTGCTTCCCTACCGGCGCAATTAAAGGAAAGAAACCTAGAATGCCTCTAGTTTTTTTTTCATTGTGCGTGCGAATGGAAGGCAATGCCGTGATTGACTGATCGAGGACGGAAAAAATTAGACCATAATTGGGAAGGCAATGCCGTGATTTTCCGTTGCAACGCACGGGCACAGTCCTAGTAAGTTAAATATACGAAAGCTAATATTATTTCCTAAAAGGCTAAATCATTGACATTAGTATAGGACAAAAAAAACATATACGAAACTATTTGGATAAATTATAATTACGAGTAGTTTTTTTCTCAATCATGCAAAAGGTTCGCGCGTCTTTGTATTAAGGTAAAGAAAAAGTTTAATACAACACGCCTTAGCGGCGCCCTAGGTGGTCATAAGTGCAGTACATGGACTCTCGGACCGTAGCTATGCTGTTACATTGGACACTGATCAACCCGACTAGCAACACTTGCTATGAGGCCTATGCCCTGGCAGTCGAGCGGCGACGGCGCCGCTTACGTGCACCCACGTCACTGTCCGGTGGGAACAACTCACGTAGCGCCTGCATATTACCGGGGTCAACGCTGAAGATTTCATCATATGCCTTTAGAGCCGACGTCGACGGCGATGGCATTCCACTGGTTAGCCCCAGACGCTTGAGCACAAGGTGCTCACCTTGCTTGGACGCCGGGATATGTGATATGCTCTGCGCCGCTATCCGCCTGCTCCTCTTTGGAAGCGCGGGCGGTGTACGTCCGGCGTTGGTTGTATCGCCTCCAGGAAGCTTCAGGAGTGGCGGCTGCCTCGCCTTTGTGACTCACTCAGTGAAGCGCTTGAGGCTTCTGTTGGCAAAGGTCGTATGAGGAGATGGAGTGCGGTTGACGGCGTCTATGGCAGCCCAATCCATCAGGTCTCCTTGGGTGGCTACCCCGACCAACGTTGGGTCAGGGCGCGCCTCGGCAACCATGACGCTAGGCTGTCCCCTCCGTGGCGACGTGACCTGTGGTGGGCCCCGCACAGGCGACAACGGACGTGAGTCCGTCATCCATCTGGACGATCTTTGCTCGGGGGCGGAGCCTCTCAATGCGTCGCCCACCGAGAGGCCATCGCGGCGCAGCAAGCATCCAGAGTGGCGCTTCGTCTTTGAGGAGCTCATGATGAGCGAGGCGGCGAGCTCCTCCAGCATTGGGTCGACCCACGTGGGAGGCCTTGTACACGCACACAGCTCCAACACCAACAGATCTGGCTCGAGAAAGCAGTGTGCAGCAGTAGAGGCAATGGCGCTGTCGTCGTGGTCGACATGCACGCCCCCGGTATGCCGTCCCCCTCGCCGGCTACTCCGGCTGTCGCCGCTTCGCCGTCGTCGGGTCCATCGCGCGCCCGTGGCACCAGACTGGCCCGATCAAGCTCGATGAACCGCCACAGGGCGCGTGCTGGGAGGCCGATGGGTTGCTGTCGCGAGCGGGGTGCCGCTCAGTCACCACCCTTCGTCGTCTATGCTAAAGCACGCCTGGGTTGCTTGCAGTCCTTGGCGAGGTGGCAGAAACCGTGGTAGTGCAGGCAACACCGTGGCCACCGACAGGTCGCTACTCAGTGTGAGTAGGAAAGGCAGTTGAAGCATTTGTCGTGAAGCTCCACGGGGACCTTCTGATCTATAGAGGCTACTTTGTGCCACGGCGAGGCTCAGCCGAGGCTACCGTAGGTCATACCTCCTGCCGGGGGAGGATCTCTCGCCACCCATCGACGTTGGGGGCGGAGACCTGTCCGCGGCAGCCAAGGTGCTGGCGAGTAGGAATACGGCCATCCACTGGCCGAGGAGGTAGGCCACACACCAGATGTGGGCACGGCCAGCTGTGCTTCCTCCGCCTTTGCCCGAAACCCTGTCGGCTCGCCTCCGCTTTCCCATAGCCCAAAATCAGGAATGAATGAGCTTGGGTGCATAGTGGGGACACAGCGACCGTCTTCGCTGGACGACAAGCGGCATCCAGGTAAGTGGCGGGGTGGTCGTCGTCGGACTCTGTGCGCCGTCTCACAGTGCCGCTACGGTAGAACAGAGCTGCGTCCGATGAGAGGGTGGGCGAGCTAGGGGTGCCCGGAGGCACCGTGGGGTCCTGACTTGGGCCACCAACGCCCATAGACCCAGAATGCCTAGTCTTGGCCTCAGACGGCATGGAGTGGTCATCGGCGGTGGAGGCAGCGCTCCCTGCGCCGGCCAACAGCGTTGAGGCCACGTGGGAGGCCGCGTCGACTATGAGGGCCGGTCCTAGCGGTGGAGAGGACAGGGGCACGCCAGATCTGGGCCCCTCGCAAGGCCGTAGGGTGCCTGTGGTGGCAGCGTCTTCCACCGGTGGCATAGAGGGCGGAGGGGCGCCGACAGTCACCCATCCACGCTGCGGAGACCCTCGGTTGCCGGTCAGTGGCGGGGATGGGGGCGCCCCAGCACCTGGACCCGTGCGAGGATCCAGCTCAGAGGGAGGTGGGGAGGGAGGGGAGGGGCGGTCGGTGCTGGCGTCACCACCGCCCGTGGGATGGGGTCGCCCGGGGCGCCTTGTGGCACGCCCCAGAACCTGGACCTCCATGAGGATGCGGCTCAGAGGGTGGTTGGGAGGTGGGGGAGGGAGGAGAGGGGGCAGCGTGTGCGGGTGCCGACGTCGGGGCGGCGGCCGGCGACCGGCGGTGGTGGCGCGAAGGGGCTCGCCTGGGGCGGCTAGGGTTTCAGGGTCGGGGTCACATTCGTTCCTCGGCTATGAACTGAACAAGCAAATTCGTCCATAATTACAAGCAATTATTAGTCCACCGGTTAATATGGCTAATTATTAGGCGAGTAAAGTTTAACCTACATTGTTTGATAGATAGACGAACAGCTATTAGTCTCTTTTAGCACTCTCATACCGATTAATGAACTAGTTGCTAGCTAGGTTGTGTGTGGACTAAAAACTAAATCAATCCATTAATTCACCTATATATTTGAGTACCGTAAAAAAACATTAAATGACCAACAATTAGTACCGGTATACAAACAATCCTAATGTTTCAGAAATATCTAACTATTGGAAACTAGCTAGAACCGGAAACGTGAGGAACACACGTCAAATGATTTTTTTGAACCTTGGATAGCTATCTTTTTTTTGGCTGTGTTTGTATACTTTAGAGCATCTGTAGGAGATCCCAAACACAACCTCCCTGATAAGATGGTAATTTTTGGATTATTGGGAAATATGATTTTGCACATCGCCAATATAACTTATCCCTAATAATTTTTTTGAAGCAATCGATCCCCACAGGCAAAATCTTTTTTTTTGTAAAAAAATATGTGTCGGTGTTTCGAGTAAATACCAACTAGTAAATTTGTATTTATTGCGCGTTGGGCCCGGATGGTGTGCTAAAGGACACAAGGTTTATACTGGTTCGGGCAGAATGTCCCTACGTCCAGTTTGCTGCTGCTGCTCGAGTTTTTAGCACCGAAAGGTTCGTAGTAGGGGGTACAAACGGTCGAGAAAGGGACAGGTCCCAAGTCTCTGATGGAAAGGTCGAATAGGTGCTGAGAGCTCGATTGCTGCTCAGCTGTGTGTTACGTGGTGCGTGGTGTGTGGAATCGATCCCCCCTTTAGTAGGGTGCCCTGCCTTCCCTTTTATAGATCAAGGGGGAGCAGGAGTTACAGATGGGAGAAAAAAGAAAAACCAGAGGCCAAGAAGGTCCTTCGAAGATGTCGGGTCTTTCTTTTCCTCTGAGCTGGTCCCGCTGACATGGCAGACGGTGCCAGGGATAGCACATTCACTGATCTTGATAGGGCCGTGCTCTGGCTTCGTTCAGCAAGTGGTCACGTCTCATCCTACCTCGACGGACGGCGCGACGCACCAGGGTGCCGAGCCACGACCCTACTGGGAGCAGACGGAGAAATGACCATACGTCCATTACTATAGATGATGTGAGTTTCCTCCTGGATCATAGTGGTTGTCGTATGCTTATGTCAGGATCCGTGTCCGAGGGCTGATGGCGGCGCCCACAACACTGTAAGACAAAAGTCGGCGCCTACGACACTGTTTGGGCTCTGTCATGCCTGGAAGGGCTTAAAGCGCCCGTCCCGTCATATTCTGACGGTACGTTCCTACAGGCGTGCAGGGTATGGTCCTTAGTACTGCGGTTGACTTGAGTGTCATGTCTTACCCTGTGATCATCATTATGAAGGAGCAGGGTGCAGACATTGGGTGAGGCGGAGCCAGTGCCGGGACGTCAGGC